ACCCCTTCCATAGTTTTGTTCGCACCGAACAATAGCCAAATAAATTAAACAAATAGATAATTAAAAAAAACTAAATTAAATGTACAGAATTTGCAAACACCACAAACACAAAAATTAAAATTCAACAAAGTCTCTTAATTTTACGAGACGGATTTTTTTCCATATTGGCTTCTGCTCAGTCAGGAATTGTCCTATCATCGGTAATGGTCACCTTAGTGGTAGTAACTTCATGAAGGGCTTCACTGTTTCCCTTCTCAAAACCGAGTACAGTTTCTTCTTCGAAAGTGGCCTTTCCAGGTGACACGTTTTCAGCGGCGTCTTTTGTTCCGTTGTTCACTTCATTCCAACTGAAATGTCCTGGACCGTGATAACGCCAAAGCCTGTTGGCATGCACCACCTTTGGCTTACCTCGCCGCCCACATTTTATCCGGAAAGACGATCCACTATGTCATATGGGCCTTCCCATGGAGATGACAACTTAGGAGACTTCCCTTTGGTCTTCCTTGGATTATACAACCACACCTTGTCTCCTGGTACAAAACTAACTTCAGTAGATCTCTTATCATAAGATAACTTCATCGAATCAGCGTTCGTTTGTTAATTTTCCGTAAAAATTCTTTCCGAAGAAACTTTAGCGATACAAGTCCTTTCTTAAATAAAACTAGTTTATTCTTTCTCAATACAACTTTGCAATACACTTAATTTCCACAGTCACGCTATAACTTAAACAAACGCTATAATTCACAACGAACGATTCACGCACTTGACTCAATTGTCCGTCTCTATCTCTGCTGCAATTCAATTCCATTGTTGCCGTCACTTCTTGGCGGTCTTATATACAAGAATACCGCACATCTAGGAAACACTCGAGCATTCAAGAACCTTCGAGAATATTATGACATGTTACTAGCGTCACGTGACTTCCGCTGTCATAACAATATTACTATACACACTACTTTACTTTTACTCAGAAATTTATATTCATGATTTTTTAAAACTGTAGAGAGAGCCACCCCCTAATTAGGCCTAATACATAAACGTAACGAAAGGCTTAGCTGAAACACTACTTAGGTAGATTTTATTTTGCTCTTGGCTACAGCTCAATGTCATAAAACTTCTGAATTAAACTATTTTAATATTATACAACCGAAGTTTTAAATAAAAAATTCTAACAAATTTACATTAATATTGAGCATTCAACATAAACACCATAATTGGACTAAAAACAATCAGGAGATGATTTTGTTGCTGAGGGTTGCTATTGTTAAGGATTACCTAAAAAAAAGAGCGTGAAAGCGTTCTCGACAGAGTTACAAAGGGAATAAGCCTTTTATAGTGAGTGAGTTGGTAGTTTATGTGAAAAAATAATTTCTACTTTTGTACTTTTTTTGAAATGTATTTATTTTTCTTTCGTTTTTCCTTTGTGAATCTCACCTAATGAGGAAACTGAAGTGTCGTGTATGATTTCTGTAATTTAATTTCAGTCTTTAAAGGTGGTTAGATGGTAAGTATCAACCTGTCACAGGTTGTGCACAGTAAAGCTGTCTGTGAGGGGTTTTCAGTAAAGTGACACACAGGACATAGTTTATCCTTCCTTTCAGTCGTCTCTGCTGGACTTCCTGAAGATCTCTGCAAGCGGTTTGACTTTGTTGTAGAGAGCTCTGCTGGTGTGCTGTCGATAAAACTCATTATTACACTGTAGTTTGTTTTTGATAGAAAACATCGAGATGTAGACTGAACGAATATTAGTAAATGTTTTTCAGATATACCTGTGGAAAGTGTGGAAACTCGCTGCAAAAAGGTGATAGTCAGGTATGTGGTTTTGGAAAACTAGCTTCAAGGTAAAGAAGGTATGTAATTTACAATCCATTTCATTAGTCGCTAACTAATAGTTGTCATTTCTGTTGAAAAATGATATAAATTATATAAAAGAAAATAAATAGCATGGTATATTTTCTGTTATTAATGCTATCTTTTTTTTCCTTGTTGTTTACCAGTGGTATAATGGTAACCTTCAAAAAACATACTGTTATGTATCTGCTTGTTTGATAATTTCCTTAGAAATTCTTTCCAAAGAACTTCAGTGATACAAGTCCTTTCTTGATTAAACCAGTTTATTCTTCCTCGATACAAACTTTTAGTACACAGTAATTTCACAGTCAATACGTTTTTCATCACTTTAAACTTAACATCTTTTATAATACACACTATAAATCACAGCGATTCACACACTTTACTTAATGTCACTACTGTTCGCTTCTTTAATTATCTATCCATCGCTGGCTTCTCTGCCAGGTTTATATACTAAGAAAGGGGGTCGTCTCGAATGCACTCGGGCTTCCCCGATCATTCATGATCATTCGAGAAATTTCACGCACGCTACCAGCGCCAGCAGCGTCACGTGACCTCCGCTGTCGTAACAATACCGTTAAAATTCAAGCTACAATCCCTCTGGCAAACACAGCGGATTTTGTGGCTTTGCTTGTAAAAATAAACAATCTGTTTATATATATACATATATAATTAATTACAAGCTTTGAGATTATTCTAGAATACTCCTGGTTCAGATAAACTACAAAATAACGAAAGGTTCGAAGATTTGGTTGGATGGAATATTAATGTCAGAACAAGAAAAGTTAGAAACAAGTTTGACGAACATGTTATTGGTTATTCTATGTTGTACAATTATCTTTCACACTACTTTCTAGACTGTGAGGTAGCAAAACCTTTAACATCCAGGTCTCCCACACAAAAACATGGTATTGGCCACAGCTGTTACGCAATACAAGATCTGGTTCTTCCCGTCTATCAAGCTGTTTTCTTCGCAGTTGGCCCGGCATGGCCAGGTGGTTAGGGCGCTTGACTCGCAATCTGAGGGTCGCGTGTTCGAATTCCCGTCCCACCAAATATGCTCGCCCTTTCAGCCATGGAGACGTTATAATGTGACGGTCAATCTCACTATTCGTTGGTAAAAGAGTATCCCAAGAGTTGGCGGTGGATGGTGATGACTAGCTGCCTTCCGTCTTGTCTTTCACTGTTAAATTAGGAACGACTAGCGCAGATAGCCCTAGTTTAGCTTTACGCGAAATTCAAAACAAATCAAACAACCTCCGCAGTTTTCGCAAGTTCTGTCGATAGAGATGACCAAGAAAGGCTAAATAAAGCTTACTCGCCGTTCTAAGGTGACTAAGTTCGGTACTTGCCTGAATATATACACTTTTACTATATTTTGCAAGAGGAACACACTCCAGCCAACTCTTCAAACTTCGTGTCTTGAAAGTTGACTGCTTCTGGCAGTAGAGTGTGTTTTCTTGAGGTTAAAAGATCCAGCCCTTTATCAGAGTAATTTTTTTTTTAGCTTGAGTAAGGAAAACTCTGTAGCCCACCCAATCCCCCGAATTCCAGTTTCATCGACTCGATTGGAATAATCCAATTTAATGAAAAATATTAATACTTGTTGAAAATACATTCAACGGGTGTATATATCCTACATTTAGTGAATACACTGCATCTAGAATTAAGTAGATGTGCAGTTTTATTCATTTTTTTGAGCGGTGAATTGCATACCCAGCTCAGCCCTTGGTGAAAGCCTGACAGATCCGGTGAAAGTCTACAAATAAAAGTAAACTCCCAGTTCAAAATCGGCTTGCTTTTTAAAGCTCTTGTAATTCATTTCAAATGTCTTACCTTAAAAGTTGTGTAGGTTATTTTAAGGGGGCTGCACTTCTCTATCGTTTTTTCTCTTAAAAACACGAACAAATTTGCTCAAAATGAACAAAATCTCTGCGAGTATTTTCAGTAGCGTTCATTCTCCAAGAAAATTGCTGTAAAACAGGGGAAGTAGATTAGAATTGAGGACATGTAGCAATCGAATGGAGAAACTTGGCAGAAATGACAAAGCAGTTGCGTCATTTCTTGTTCAAAGTAGCCCATTTCACAGTAGAGATGTGGTCAAGATTTCTACTGTCTGAATTTGGTATATTTAATGCATTAAATTTAATAATAATCTCGAATTATGCTTCTACGGAGAACTATATTATATATTAAGAAGTAAAAAATATCCTAAAGTATTTAAATTATGAAATACTTCTCTAGAATGAAACTGTAGAAAACCTCCTACATTTAGTGAACACCTTAAATCTGGAAAGAAACTGTACTAATCTCGATATTATTTTATGATCCGTGTAATATCTGCATTTGAAACTTCGAACATGACAAAGTCAGCAATATGCAGCAACCAGCTCTTACATACATACGGTCTTTCAAAGATTATCATACATTTCGGAAGATTCCATTATAATGTGGTTTTCGAAACTCTTATGATAATGGATTACGGGCATTTCATAAAATATTCTAGTTAATCGGTTGCAACGTAATCATCCACCGACTTTTAACAATTCTCAACTGTCTCTTGTATTTGTTTTCCTAAAGGTTTAAAGAATGTAACAAGGGTTAATCTGATTATAATAAGAGTTTAAAAAACATCAACTTTGAAACGTATTTATCTTAGAAATTATATAAAGCCAAAAAATAACAAGTAATTAGAAACAAGCTGCTGATAAAGTGTGATTGGCAGAGATCATCACGCTTGGACGGAATGCAACATTCAATAAACAAATATCCTACTGTGAGAGTGCAGCAGAAACGAGAAAAAAGTGTTTTTAAATAGATATTTTGATAACATAGGGTCCAGTTTGGTGTGCGTGGATTGTATTCATTGTCCATCTCAGTCAACGGTCAAACGACCAGAGAACTCCAATAATCAGACACCTAGAGTTTTGGAAGACAAGAAAATACAACCTGACACATTCACAGGGTCTTCCCAGGTTCAACGGTCTTTTGAACCGAGTACGGAATCTTTGAATATTCACGAGTCATACAATTCAGTCACAGAATGTTCCAAAATACAGCAGTCCTTTAAGCTAGAAACAGGTCTTCCTGGAACTCAGAAGCCAGTTCTTGACAACATTGTAAAACCTTCTAGAGTTCAACTACCTTCCTTAACATCTGATCCTGAGCCTTCAAGTGTTCATCGGCCTTTAGAGTTTACCAAGGTAAAACAGCTTTTAGTGAGTATTTTATTTGAGTCTACTATAGTTCAACAGCTTTTGGTAAGTAATTTGTTAAAGTTTACTATGAGTCAACAGCCTTTGATAAGTACTTTCTTAAAGTTTATTATCATTCAACAGCCTTTCTTAAGTACTTTCACAAAGACTACTATGGTTCAACAGCCTTTGGTAAGTATCTTCTTATAATCTACTGTGGTTCGACAGCCATTGGTAAGTACTTCTTTAAAGTCCACTATGGTCCAACAGAATTTGGTAAGTACTTTCTAAAAGTCTACTATGGTTCAACAGCCTTTGGTAAGTACTTTCTTACAGTTTACTATTCTTCAACAGCCTTTGGTAAGTACTTCATAAATTCCACTATGGTCCAACAGAATTCGGTAAGTACCTTCTTATAGTCTACTATTGTTCGACAGCCATTGGTAAGTACTATCTTAAAGTCTTCTATAATTTAACAGTCTTTGGTAAGTACTACTTTAAAGTATACTATGGTCCAACAGCCTTTGGTAAGTACTTCTTTAAAGTATAGTATAGTCCAACAGAATTTGGTAAGTACCTTCTTATAGTCTACGATGAATCGACAGCCATTGGTAAGTACTATCTTAAAGTCTTTTATAATATAACAGTCTTTGGTAAGCACTACTTTAAAGTATACTATGGTCCAACAGCCTTTGGTAAGTACTTCTTTAAAGTATAGTATAGTCCAACAGAATTTGGTAAGTACCTTCTTATAGTCTACGATGAATCGACAGCCATTGGTAAGTAGTTTCTCAAAGTTTACTATTGTTCATCAGTGCTTGGTAAGTGCTTTCTTAAAGTCTACTATGGTTCAATAGCCTTTGGTAACTACTTACTTAAAGTCTACTATGGTTCAATAGCCTTTGGTAACTACTTACTTAAAGTCTACTATTATTCAACAGCCTTTGGTAACTACTTACTTACAGTCTACTATTGTTCAACAGCCTTTTGTGAGTACTTGCTTAAAGTTTACTACGGTTCAACAGGCTTTCCTAGGTACCGTTGCAAAACATGTCAGTCAAGTTATTATTACAATTTCTCTTGGTGGACCTTGTCACCTGTACAAACTTGAACAGCCTCGTTTCAGTAGTCATCAAAATCATTGGTGGTAGCTTTCAATGCAAAAGTTGGGCAACAGTTCATTCAAGGTAAGCAAGTGTCTAAATAACAGTTAGTTTGTAACGAAGAAGTAACAACTTCCTGACGCTGAAACTGAGGTTGTTAATGCCACAGAATGAGAAAAATGATATATTTTTCTTGATGCAGTGTTTGCTTATATTTATATTATCAAACTATAAATATATAGTTTGAAATTATATTGTTGAATAATATTATTTAGCTTTTAATAATAATTAATAACCTTAGAAATTTAAACGGTGTCCAAAATTTTGTATATAGCATTGTAAGACACCTTGTGCTCTGTATGTGTGTGTTTGTTTTAATAAATATCACTTACAAAAAATCAGACGTTACTATAAGTAACATTAAAATATATACATTAGACTTTTCAAATGGACTAATCGAACAAATTATTTTGAAAGAACAGAATACTCGTGTAGATTTCGTTTTGTTCATGTAAAACCTCCAAGACTTTCATAGACACTAACAGTATATTTGAATTTTGTTTTGTTTTTAATGAAAATTTAAACCCACTGACACCATCGCAAATTTTACTTGGAGCTCAAAATAATTGAAAACATACATTCTGTTGAAATAATTTGAGACACCAACCACCATGCATGGGTAAAGAAGTACGCTGTGTTCATATCATGAATGGAAATTGTCTTTCATAGGTGAGCTTCGCATGGCCTGGTGGTTAGGGCACTCGACTCACAATTCCCGTAACCAAACATGCTCGACCTTTCAGTCTTGGGGCATTATAATGTTTGGTCAATCCCACTATTAGTTGGTAAAAAAGGTAGCCCAAGAGTTGACGTTGCGTAGTGTTGACTAGCTGCCTTCCCTCTAGTCTATCAATGCTAAGTTGGGGAAGGCTAGCGCAGATAGCTCTCGAGTGGTTTTACACGAAATTCTAACCAAATCAAACAGAAAGCAAACTTCCTAAAGATAGTTCCTTACACGTTATTTTGTTCTCTTCGTTAGCAAGAACATGAAGACAATATTGAAAATTCGAGTCCACGAGACTGTCCTGTCGAAGAAGCTGACAAAAAAGATAGAAGAGGACATCTTCCTGCAGGATTTCATGAAAATTTCGAAAAGGAGGAGGAAGAAGAGAAAGAAAGTGATGAGAAAATCGATGCTTTTACAGTCTCACAACCCGAGGTGCTTTTAAACCGAAACTTAGGAGATGTGCACGCTATCTCTGAAGAAGAAGATGAGACCTCTCCTGCACAGTTTCGATTAGCGGATTCAGCTCTGAACTCAGACACGGCCTCTACCTTGAATCACTCGAGAGGTAATTGAGTCAGTAAGTCCTGTCAAAATAACCTGTGACAGAAAACTGGGAACTTAAATCAAGATATTTAATGTAGTCGAATTTCTATTGTTTTCTATAATTTAAACAGTGTTGTTGCCTTTATCGCTACAAACTCTTACATCGATATTTGTTTTATGTCTTGTTAGAAAAATACCGAACATGATTTTCAGACTTAAACAGTTATAATCAGTAAATGAACAACTAACCACTATGTAAAAAAAAAACCTTATCCTTAGTCCTGTATCATACCCGATGAAGACAGACCAAGTTGCTGTCGAAACATATACTATGTGTTTACAAACTGTTGTTTGTTAGTTTACTACTATATTAGCATAATGTGCTTCCATACACAATTATTTCCCCTACCCATAGTGGCTCATCTTTAAGTCTGAAGACTTATGACGCTAAAAACCTGGTTTCGATATCCGTGGTGGGCACAGCCCAGATAGCCCATTGTGTAGTTTAGTGCTTAACAACAAATAAACAAAATAAATAAATATAGTTAATTTAATCAATATAAAAATTCTCGTCAGTTTGGTTTGTTCTTATTGTAAAAAGTTACTTAATACACCAGATAATTTTTAACAAAACCTGACACATTACTTTCCCCGGCTATCTTCAAACAGCGAGTGTTGTGTATGACAAGGAGTCAGTCATCATCTGTTTCTTAACTAGAGAGTACAAATGGAAGATGAAAACAGTTGTAATTTATTGATAATTAAATCATTTGTTTCTTTGTGTTAGCGTAAAACTTCACAATGAACTTTCAACGCTGTGCTCACGGCAGAGATCAAATCTCGAATTTTAACGTCATAAACTCCCAAGCTTACCGCTGAGCCACAGAATGGCAATAATAATTAAGTCAATTTTAATTCTACATCTGTCATGTCGGAAAAAAGTTTTCTTTCTTTGTGTGTGTTTCCATATCACATATGTCGCTGTTAATCATCTGTAAACATAAGTTCATTAGTTATGTTGAAAATATTCGTCAGGTTTTCTAAACTCTGCATAATTGAAATGTCAATGATAATTTTCTTTTACGTTTTTAGCACAATATCGTTTGAGAAATATAAATCGCGAAATCGAGAAGTTAAGAATCTTTTATAACTGTAAAAGGTTACTTTAAATGTAAATGTTTCTACAATTACAATATGTAATAAATGAAATGATGTGTTTCAGACGTGCAACAGACACATTGTAAAGCTCCTGGAATAAACGTAAGAGAAACCTCCTCCAGATCAGAAGAAAAAATCGATAAACCTTTCAACTGTGTCGACACGGAAGAACCTTCACAGATAGATGGGGATATCTTGCCGCAAGATGGCGGCCAGCAGCAACAGTGTGAAAACGAAATACGTGAACCAAGCGGTCAGTCTGGTACTCAGTCGCTTTCACAACAAACATTAGCTCCTACTTCTTTCGTGGAACAGAAATATCATCAGTACCCAGAGATGTCTACAGACATCCCCATGTCTGATTCTTTGAGGTTGATTAATTCAATTACGCAAGTGAATAGTCAGAATGTCGTAGCAGATAATGACAATGTTTCAGTCCCTGTAACCTCGGTTTCTCGGGGTGATCATCACCAACAGCAAGTAGCTCAGTTCTCTCAGCCTAAAGCTCATCAACAAATCGTGTTGCAAGCAATCCCTACAAAAAATCTCAAGAACATTGACTTACAGGGGCAAAAGAAACAAAAGGCGAAACCCGATCCACAAGATTGGTCACCAGTGTCAGATTTATCTCCAATTATGGATGTGTCTCCCTCGGTCGAAGCTGCGGAACAGGAATTCATGGAAAAGTTTCGACAGAAATCTGAAGAAGCAGAGCAAAGTAAACCAATAGTGCATACAACAATTCCGAGAGCTACTAGTGGAACAATCTCTGGAATGATTGCCGATTTTAACAAGGCTCTTGGTCTTTCTGGTAGTTATCCAATAAAAAATCAAAAAAGTAAAGTAAATTCTACCAGAAACATCACCATGTCTCCTCTTCGTTCGTTGGTCGATTCTGTACGTGAAGATAGTGCCCTTAAAGACCAGAACCAAAATGTTGTTCCTCAGGATGCTGAAGAAGAACATCAGGCGGTCTCTAAACCAGATAAAGATAGTGTTGCTAGTGAACATCTCCCACAGCCAAGTACATCAAGACGAATCCATAGAAGACTCCCTCAGCCCACCATGGAACAAATGCAGGCTGCTGTTGTCATGGCTGCTCAGACTCCAAGAGGAAAGGTGTCACCACAAACCATGGTAAAACCCATCGACACACAAAATTCCCTTGTGAATGTTCCCATAAAATCACTAAGTTCAACACCTCCAATTTCACCATCTGTTTTGTCAGGCAAATTACACGACAAAAAACAATCAGAACAAATATTGGCTGCAGATTCTTTCACTGATCAACATCTAACCAATCAAAAAGCATTTACTTCGTCACACAGTGTGCAATCACTGATTTCTCCTGTCGTGCTGATGTGTGGTGTGACTTCCTTTGTTACTTCATCAACTACCACAATGACCACTGTGACTTCCCGCCAGGTCATTGCTGGAACATCACCTCTTGAGCCTAATTATGTAGAAAGCAAGCCTCCTACTTTAGGAGTGGAGAAGGATCTCTGCACCAAAGACTCTTCTTTATCTAGAAATGGATCAGCACAAAATCCTAGAATTCTGAAAGACAAAGTAAGCATACTAATTAGATGGATAAAAACTGATACTGACCTTTATTTTTACAAAATAATGTTCTAACAACACTGACTTTTTAATTATATTTTTAAAATTGTGTTTAATTTTATAGAAATATCGTAATTTGAAATAACACCAAAGTTCATATCAGATTATGTTAGTCGAGTTAGGGGATGCTATCTATACCACCTAAGAAACAAATATAATGAGGCACCACAAGGAAATGCTGATAAATATGGCAGAAAGTATATTATCAAATAAATAAAATCATGAAATCGATTGGTGCTAAATAGAAAACTGGTAAATAGAACAGTTAAATTAACTAGTAATTTCAAAAAAGTTACCCGCAATTTATTTGATTGCATATCCCTGAGCTTAACTAATTTTCTCAAGTAGATAGACAATAAACTTTAAATTATATTTGAATATTTACTACTCTATACTTATGTTTTTTTTTCATGATTTTAATGTGTGGTGTATTTTAGCGTTGATGGTTAATTTCATACGTTCCTCAATTGATTCACAAGTTGGAACGTTTGCTTTTATTCTAGACATTGATTTCTAAGTATTTAAATATAATAAAATATCACACGTCTGTATACGGCGAATAAATACAATCAAACAGCTAAAATTTCAAAATGTCATCAAATTACGTTGTTTATGTATACATGTGTAGATAAAAGCATATTTTCATTATGCAAGTACACAAATTTATGATATGTTGCATATCGTCACAGATCCTACATGTTAATAACAATATTATTTCAGTTGACTAATATTTTATGAAAGTTGTAGAAATAATGATTTAAAAATAAAATTAAACCACAATTATGAAAGATGTTTCTGGGGTAAAAACCTATTCATCTGACGTTTTTTTTTCTCAGACTGGTGAAAACTCCGATACACAGAGTGAATCAGATAGCTCAAAATCTGGAAAGATTCGACGAAAACTTCCACCTCTTCCTCGAGACCAAGAACCTTCACCTGTTTCTGCAAGGAGAAGTAAAAATCGAACTCGAAATCTTTCTATTGGCAGTATTCCAGTTCACTTAGCAGAGAAACGATGGGCTCAGCGGACATCTTCGCTGGACAGTGCTCCTCAGACCAGGTCCACTGGAGACCTGATTCGCATGAGTCGGAGTGATTACCATATTCAACAGTCGGGAAAATTAGGTAGTCAGGTTTCGGAAACAGCAACCACTTATCAAAAGTCCACTTCTTCGATCCATAAATCTCCTCTGATGGCTCCTGTGGCAGTTTCTCAACGCTTGGGGTTGGCCGAGATTAGTTTAGCAGGTTCAAAATTACCGACGTACGTGCAAAATCTGAAGCAACAGATGCGAGAGGAACTGAGAACTGTGTCGGAAGAACAACAGAGACTTCTGGATATCAGAGATAAAACCCGAAGCTTATACCGACGAAGCGAGACCGATTTAGCTTCGTTACTTCCTTCTGTGTGGTCAGATGAGCCAGCATCTGAGTTTGATACACATCCTCCCTCAACATCACCATTCATTAGACGATCCATCTCTGCTTGTACATCACCCCAGGAATCGCCGAAGAAATCTAGACATCGGAGACATGCATCTGACCCTAAACATTCTCGTTTTTTACAAATTAGGGATACTTTACCCACCGAATGCGACATGACAACGTTTAACTCAATGAAGGATCATAATACTCGTAGTGAAGCTTTCAAATATTTTGATTTTGAATCAATTGATAGGCTTCTTAGTTACGAAGGCGTGGGTCGTGTCGATTGGCACCAAGATGGTAGACAAAAAAATGACCACATGGTCTCTGAGCGTCTAAGTAACATCATGAGTGACAAAAACTTTCAGACGTTCTCTCGAGAAATGCCAAGGTACAGCGATTTTCTCTCAAATCGACCTTAGCGTTTAGTAAGCCTCACTAAGATGAATATGTATAGTTTTAGAATCCTTATCTAAGAAGGGATATTGACTTACGGAGAGGATTCAGAGGAGAGTTCCTAGGATGATTATAGGGTTGTCTTATCGGGATAGATTAAAAATCATATTTTCTCTTGAGAAAAGAAGGTAAGGAGATGATTTCACTGAAGTTTACTAGATTATCCGGGAGATAAAGGCATCAGAGTTTTTTTGTGATGAACATAATATGACGAGAGGACATACATGAGACTTGGAAAAAAGGGGGGACTAGACTCCAATTAAGCCAGTTTCATTTTTCTAGCAGGTTGATTGGCTTGTGGAACGAGATGCCCTCAGCAAGATGAGGCCAACATTTTACAGGAGGAATCGATAATTTCTTTTAAAATATAGGGAAGCCGTAATCTTAATTTTTCATGGAGGGGAGAGGTTGAAGGGACAGTCCTGAAGAACCAAATGGTCCCTTGTTGTCCGTATGTTATGTTAATGTGTTTTCTGTACCACTTTAGATTATCTTTGGATCCTTGTTCTAGCCGTTTAATCCGAGTATATCGTTCAAGTTGTAAATTCCAGTTCCATTTAGCCCGCGTTTTTAGGATCAGGTATTTTATTGATGGCTAGAGAGAGAGAGACTGGAAACGATATGGGTGGTAAAATTTTCGCTATTTCAGCCAAACAAGTTACTATAACCATAATCAACTGAATAATCAAACACTTTAAAAAAGTAAGAATTAACATTATATTAAAAAAAAATCAGCTGTATATTTTGAGTGACTTTTTTCCAATTGATTTGTTTTATTTGGAATAATTTATTCTTGTTCTATTTTAATATTAATTTAGGTTTTTCACTCACTTCTTAATCGATTTTGTAAAAGTTTTTGTCGTATTTTTATAACAGTTCAGAACAAAATACGGCCCCGGCATGGCCAGATGGTTAGGGCGCTCGACTCGCAATCTGAGGTTCGACGGGTTCGAATCCCAGTCCCACCAAACATGCTTGCCCTTTCAGCCGTGGGGGCGTTATAATGTGACGGTCAATCCCACTATTCGTTGGTAAGAGAGTAGCCCAAGAGTTGGCGGTGGGTAGTGATGACTAGCTGCATTCCCTCTAGTCTTACACTGCTAAATTATGGACGGCTAGCGCAGATAGCCCTCATGTAGCTTTGCGCGAAATTCAAAAACAAACAAACAATCAGAACAAAATATTTATGTTGAGTACAGTTATGTGGGTGAGGCAGTGGGAGTGACAAAATGTTTAGCGGGCCAAAACCGCAAATCCGAGGGTACATGTTTCGCATTCCATTGTTGCATAAACACGCTCTGCAGTTTGAGGCTGTGGGTGCTCTATAAGAGTGACAGTCAAATCCGACTGTATGATCAGACAAAGATTTGACGTTTGATGCTGTTGACTATTCTTTCATACTTATATGACTTTAAATATTTATACAACATCTATTTCAATTCTATCATCTAAACAGTTCCAGATAGCTAAGTCATGGAAAGTATAGCTGGTTGTTTGCTGGATTTAGTAAGGTGATTAAACAATGTCTACGTGAGAAAGCTTAAACGTTTTTTTATTATTATTATTATTATTTATCACCAATACACTAAAAGATTTATTTCAAAGAATGATAAACATATCATTATTAGCTGGAATTATAATTAAATATAAGTATATAAATTGAAAAAATCCACACTGTAACGTAAACAGATATGAGTCTGGTTCGTTTTTTATTTTTGTTCTGTTTTAATGAAAAGTTTTATAATGAGCTATCTGCGCTGTTTCCGTTGCAGGTATTAAACCCCGAATTGTAGCGTTATAAGGCAGCAAGCTCACCGCAGAACTACTAAGAAAAGTTACGAGACTATTTTTTTTTCGTACCGCTATCTACGCTAATGGCACTGGGAGGAACAAACCCCGAATGCTAACGTTATAAGTGACTAAGGGATTATACGAATCGGAACAATGTTAATCATTATGGTAGAAATTTTGAGAGAAGCTTGTTATTGAATGTTTTGGGCATGTGTTTTACTGTTCCATTTAAGATGAGACATTTTAAAATTTTCATTGAACAGTCGTTTTGATAAAAACAATACCAGCAAATACTTCCATTTAGGAAAGAGCAAAAAGAACACGTTTTATACTATACTAAAAGGTATTACTTAGGCTTAAGGCGAACTTTTGTGGTTGCTAATGCAGCGTAAGTTTTTGTTGTGTTTTTTATGCAGATAAGGCAGCAGCTATTCTCTTCTAGCTGATTAATTAAACGTTAATTTAGTTCATTATGAAAATGTATATTAAAAGTCGTAATTTTAATTAACAAATATTATTAAGCAGTTTGATTATCGTGGCTAATTTCTGGTAAATATCAAAACAAAATTACTTTCGCTTAAGGGATTGTTTTTAAATGTGTTCTTTCCATGAATGTATTCCAAGCAGCGACTATCTGAACAAGACATTTAACAACTTTTTTAGACAACATATAAAATCATTTTCTTTTAATGTGCAATTTTACACAAATAAATACCTATATGCCCAAGATGTGCTTACTTGAACTTTCAAGGCTAACAGTGGATGGTTCAGGAGCATTGTGATGTTCTGAAATTCGTTGGTTCAATAATACTGTTCTATTTTGAAATTCGTTGGTTCAGCAATACCGTTGTTATTCCAACAATGGTTTAATCAATAATACTGATCCAGTCTATCAATGGTTGAGTCAGTAATATTGTTGTAGTTTAACAATGGTTGACTCAATAATACTGTTGTACTCTAAAAGTTGTTTGTTAATATTACCATTTTATTCTAACCATTGTTGGGTTAATACATCTGTTGTAGTGTAACAGTGGTTGGGTTAATATTACTGTTGTATTCTAACAATGGCTGGTTCAATAATACTGTTGTAATCTAACGATGGTTAGTTCAATAACACTGTTGTAATCTAACATTGTTTAGGTCAGTAATATTGTTGTATTCTAACGATGGTTAGTTCAATAACACCGTTGTAATCTAACATTGTTTAGGTCAGTAATATTGTTGTAGTCTAATAATGTTTGGGTCAGTAAAACTGTTGTAATCTAACAATGTTTGGGTCAATAATACTGTTGTAATCTAACAATGTTTGGGTCAATAATACTGTTGTAGTCTAACAGTGGTTGGATCAGTAATACTGTTGTAGTCTAACAGTGGTTGGATCAGTAATACTGTTGTAGTCTAACAATGTTTGGGTTAGTAATACTGTTGTAGTCTAACAATGTTTTGGTCAGTAATGCTGTTGTGGTGTAACAATGTTTGAGTCGGTAATACTGTTGTAGTCTAATAATGTTTGGGTCAATAATACTGTTGTAGTCTAACAATGTTTGGGTCAATAATACTGTTGTAGTCTAATAATGTTTGGGTCAGTAATACAGTGTACTGCTGTGGTGTAACAGTGTTTGAGTTAATAATACTATTGTAGTCTGTTATACATTTTGCTTTTGCCTCGTAAATTTTGAAATACACGAGTAGTAATGAATACTTGTAGATATATTTCTGAAAATGTTTCCTTTTCTTTCTTTATTATGTTTTATTTCATGAAATAAATAATTTTGCTTTGAAAGTGTTTAAATAGATGAGCAACCAATACTTTTCTGTTTGGAATGTTATTCCTCAAAAGTTATGTACCGTAAGTAAACGAGACTTGGTTTGGTTGGCATGGTGATGTGTAGCGTGGAGACAGTCATGTTCAAGTTTACGCGTTGTCTTTAAACGAATTATTCAATTAATAGTTGCATACCTTATGTTTGTTTCCGAAGTATGGCCGATTGGGAGGTCAAAAGGACTCAATATCGCGTTGCCTAGCAAAGTAAAGCATTGGATGAGTTGACAAACAGGGATACAGACAACGTGATAAGGTTGCTTACAAGTGACATGCGGACTTACATATAGTTGTATTTCATATTTGATTTTAAGAAACGTGAATACCAGAGAATACGTTGCATACATATACGGTACATTAATGTCAAACAAGCCTCATTAATATACAAATTAAAATACAATCTCAGGTGGATGAAAAAAATACCTGTTCAAATCTCACCATACTATGCACATATAAATCCAAATCTAATGATTATTCCACAGTTTTCCAGGTGAATTAACTGAAAGTTCTCCTCATACGACCTTGAACCTTATTTCTTAATCACTCAATCATTGTGTAGATCTGGATCAAACTCAGTCACTGTGTAGATCTGGATCATCACTCAATCATTGTTTAGATCTAGATCATCACTCATTCACTGTGTAGATTTGGGTCATCGCTCAATCACTGTGTTGATCTGAATCATCACTCAATCATTGTATAAATCTGGATCATCACTCATTCACTATGTTGATCTCGATAATTACTTAATCATTGTGTAGATCTAGATCATCACTCATTCACTGTGTACATCTGGATCATCGCTCAATCACTGTGTTGATCTGGATCATCACTCAATGACTATGTAGATTTGGATCATCACTCATTCACTGTGTTAATGTGGATCAACACTCAATGACTATGTATATTTGGATCATCACTCATTCACTGTGTTAATGTGGATCAACACTCAATGACTATGTATATTTGGATCATCACTCATTTACTGTGTTGATATTGATCATCACTCAATCACTGTGTTAATGTGGATCAACACTCAATGACTATGTATATTTGGATCATCACTCATTCACTGTGTTGATGTGGATCATCACTCATTTACTGTGTAGATCTGGATCATCACTCAATCACTGTGTTGATCTAGATCATCACTCATTTACTGTGTACATCTGGATCATCTCTCAATCACTGTGTTGATCTGGATAATCACTCATTCATTATGTTGATCTGGATCATCATTCAATCACTGTGTTGATCTGGATAATCACTCATTCATTGTGTAGATCTGGATCATCACTCAGTTACTGTGTCGATCTGGACCTTCGCTCATTCACTGTGTTAATCTGGATTATCACTTAATCATTGTGCTGATCTGACACTTTCGACATTGCTACTACGTGAGAGATTTCTAGAATATCTGTTGGCCCTCTCTCCTCAACACCTACCGTGTAACTTCAGCACTTTATAACCTAAAAATATATATTCATATCTGTTGAAGTAGGCCTGTCTCATCAACACCTACCGTGTAACGTCAACACTTTATAAACTAAATATATATATATATATCCATAACTGTTGAAGTAGGCACTGTCTCCTCAACACCTACCGTGTAACGTCAGCACCTTATAAACTAAAAATACATATCCATATTTGTTGAAGTAGGCCTGTCTCCTCAACACCTACCGTGTAACGTCAGCACTTTATAAACTAAAAATATCCATTTCTGTTGAAGTAGGCATTGTCTCCTTATTTTCAATTGGCCAATAATAGCATTTTCCAAATTAAAGATGTTTGTAGCAGCTGGGCAAACCTCCTACAAACATTCTTTCAAATGAGCAGTGTTTTATTCTCGTCATCGCACAAACGTAGAGGGCGTTAGGATGAGAAAAGCAGAACCCTAAATACAAATGATCGCTTATCGTGGTGAATACTCACGTTAAAAAACTGATTTGTAATAAATAACAAAGCAACAACAAGAGCCTAACTACAAAAATTTCGGCCATCTCTAGTAAATTATGCCAGGTTTGAGGATCATTACCCTTAACCAGTAGAGGGGTAAAAGTCGTTAGTTTCAATTCACGGGGAATGCAATTTTTATGACATCTGTAGTTTCTTAATTCATGAGATATTTTATACGTTAGGTTAAATCCTTATAAACATCATTTATATTTTTTTCAGAAATTACACTGATAACCTATAAGATTAAATCCTTATGCAGGTGGCTTTGTATACAGTTGTACTGAAAACTTTTATTACAATGTGAAAATAAGATTTGATGTTTCAATGATTTTCTTTTCCCTTTATACAGAACCCGTACAGTAAGTCAAGGGTCTTCCCATACATTGCCTGCAACCTTTAATCGACCCTTTGACCAATGGCAGAGAAACTTAACTGCTCAGTTCCTCTCAAACGAGAGAGAAAAACGGGAAGAAAATAAATCTCGGAAGCCTAGATCATGGCATCCCTCGCCTTACGTATCTGAGGACGAAGATGATGAAATAACAAGAGAAGAAAAGAAAGCCAAAGTTAAAGAGGAGATCAACCGAAGAAGGAAGAAGATTGAAGAAAATTGTAGGTTATACGACGAACTGCATCAAGTAGCCAAAACACTAGAAGCAAATGAAAACAGAGGTGGGAAATGATCTCTGTTTACAGAAATTATATTACGTAAGAAATAGAATGTTTTCTCATTAAAGACATTTATTAAAACATGAAAATCGAGTGGAAAGGTAGGTGAGAAATAACGTAGTTTTAGAGTAATTAATTAATTCAATAAGAAATGAAATACTTTGTGAATAAGCACCAATTGCTACAAGATATTAAGGTGGTCCTTGCTGACTTGCTCTTTAACAATTTGTAGTACATACTAGAGAGATTTACACATTTTGATAATAAAGTTAGAAAAAAACGACCTTTACACTCCAGATTCTTATAAGAGAGCTTTTATTTTAACCGACGTTTCGCCTTTGCGGCTTCTTCAGAGCTAGTAAAACTTTTGTGTACTAGTCTTATGTACTAGCCTTGAAGAAGCCGCAAAGACGAAACGTCGATTAAAATAACATTTTTCATATAATTATCTGAAATGTAAAGGTCGATTTTTTCTAACTTTATTATCAAAATGTTGACGTTCTCGTCAGTTGTAATATCTCCTTAACACTTCAAACTAATTATAATATCTCCTTAACACTTCAAACTAATTGTTTTAAATCTAATACTTTATGAATGTAGAGAACTACTGTAGATTTAAACACAGTCCCTTAAAACACTTTCGTTTCCAAGTTATCCAAATGTTTCTGATAGGATTCTTAGTGTTTTTGGAACTACACTAAGCTGAGATACTAAACAAGAGGTAAGTTAAAAACCAACCAATCCGTTCGTAGTTTTAAACAATGTCAACCAGAGCAGAACGAAGACCATGTACAGTGTGCAGCACATTCGTCATGGGGGGGGGGGGACTTAAACAATGCATTCGTCAGGGTAGTTGAAAACAGGTCCGTCATTATTTAAACTTCCTGACAGATATATTATTTAAGCTCCTTTGACAGATGTATTATTTAATTCCCTAACAGTTGTATTGTATAAGCACCCATGATGGATGAATAGTACAATGTGTATCTAAGCACATTTCGCTAAAAATAAAGCTGGAAAACAATATGTTTACGTAGAATAATTTCACATAGACTGCTCCTACCTTCTATCTAGTTTTAAAGACAACGTTTCGGACTTTGTGCTGAGTTCTTCATCAGACCATTACGAGTCATGAGTTAGAACATTCATAGCTAACCATTCCACCAATGTTAGTTTTGTACGTTTTTGTTAACTTCAATTGATATAACGTTCTGATACTGATAAGCACTCCATGTTTTGTATACTTGTTAACATTTTGATAACATAAAGTGTATTGAAACTATTTTGTAAAGTTCACAGATGGATCTCTACATGTGGTGATATTTCTCCCTGAGGTATCACCATGGAAGACTATTACCACATGTGAAGGGACCACCAGAGAGGAATATCACCACATGTACAGGAACCACCAGAGAAAAATATCACCACACAGAGAGGGACCACCATTTGATATTTTTCGTCCAGACAAAACAAAAACCATAACATATCATTAACTTTTCCACCATAACAAGACGTAGGAAAAAGACGTATAGATGAAAGAGCCAGGAACATAAATCAGGATAATCTTTTATATCCTTACAAGTTTCTAAAATCGATCCAAAACTGTAGCATGGTTGTTGCTCATTAAAGTAAAATACTGAATACCACTGATAATCTTTGAATTTCAAGAACACAAATTTTAGTCCACAACTTTCGCTAGTCATTGATTCACCGAAATTTCGTCAAAAGTAAGTAGCGCCAGAAAAAAAACGATATTTGGATACTTTCTCAGAAATTATCAATTACCGACAAAAACAGCAGTTACTTTAAGTACCGGTAAAATGTACGTTTTCATAAGTCGACTAAGGTCATACCACAATTCAGTTCACGTAACGAATTTCATTACCAGATGATTCGACGATAATTAATAATAACTTCCGACTTGTGCAGTTTACCTACTTACGGGTAAAATATAGCTAATTAAAGATACATTTATTACGTTCTTACTTACAATGATTACAATTTTATTGCTTCGTCAGCTGTGTACTCTCGATGCTAACGATATTTTCGGCCATAATCCCAATAATATCTCACGAGGTTTTGCCAACTTAGGAGATTTACTTCAAGGTCGAAATGACACACAGTATTCAATGTTTAATTGGCAAAAGCGGATGAGAATGATACACATTCCCTCTGTGCAGGATGCCAGTCCATCGCAAATTAACTCCCATCATACAGCTGGGTAGACTGAAACAATTGGAGATAAGTGCCTTGATCAAGGAAACAACAGCATCCGACTACGAATCCACAGCGTGGAGCCATTGTACCATGCTGTAACCCTTAGGAGATTTAGATTCAGTCTAAATACATATGTTAAGCTAACAATGCAAAACAATCTCTATAATAAAAGAACAATAATAAAATATTAAAGAGTAATAGAATAAGGCATGATAATTATTTCAACCAATAAGACGTTATCAAGTGACGGTCAATCCTACTTTTTGTTGGTAAAAGAGTAGTCCAAGAGTTGGCGGTGGGTGGTGTTGACTAACTGCCTTCCCTCTAGTCAATCACTTCTAAATTACGGACAGCTAGCATAGATAACCATTGAGTAGCTTTGCGCGAAATTTAACAAACAAACAAACCGACTTAGAAATCCCTCGTGCAACCTGATGCTTCAGTCAGTCTTGATTGAATGATGCTTGCTTCAGTCAGTCTTGACTGAATGATGCTCTTCAAACATATTTTTACTTCCGTCTTTACTAAAACTACCCGTAAATAGGGGTTTCAGTTGACTTCCCTCTAGTAGGTTTCCACGTACTTGGGATGTGACTATTTAGTTGCAAGCTATTTCAAGGTTACATTACAATTCTACAAGTTTATTTATTTGTCTTAGTTTCATGAGACATTTGCTACAAATCAACTTAAGATTAATGCTACTATTATTTATTATCTGTTGAGTACTTGTTTGTTTGTTTCAGAATTATCACGCAAAGATATCAAATGGGTATGTATATAGCGATCGCTACTTTTAAACTAATCTATTAACCACTGCCAATTCTTAGACTACTCTTAGAGGGACTACTCTTAGCATTACTCTTTTAGTGCACCTACAGCCTCAAAGTGCGGAAAGTGTTTGTTTTGCGACAAGGAGACGCGAACCATGAATTCTCTGATTCACAGTTTGTTTGTTTGTAATTAAGCACAAAGCGACACAATGGACTATCTGTGCTTTACCCACCACGGGTATCGAAACCCGGATTATAGCGTTGTAAGTCCGCAGACATACCGCTATGCCACTGGGGGGCTGATTCACAGTACGCCATGATTTAACCACTAGGTCATAGGTCATTCTCAGCCCGTAAGTTGATTAACAATGAACATCTTTGTAAACACAATAAAAAGAAGAATACAGAGCTACTGAGGGTTTTCAACTGTACTGACTACTAATTTAAGACTAACGTTTCTAGAATTAACTTCATTCTGTACTTTCATTCTCATAGATTCCGGTTACCTTCTGGATCAGTCTATTGTATATAACCAGAGAACTTCTGACACTACAACTTGTACAACTAGTGACACATTTAGGCTTAGACAAGTTGATACTGCAAGACCTACGATTACTGGCAACGTATTTCAAGCTATAGACGAGTTACTGAAGAAGGAGGACTACAGTACTTGGTCAACCGAAAGCAATGCACAATCTGGGTCGCATTATACGACAGCGCCCTCTATCTATTCAACAGCTTCTGTTTCTGGGTGTGTTAATTTTTTATTTTTTTTACAGACAGCTAATACGTTTGATCAAAAAAAATGTAATTCGTTATTTTTTAAAACCTTATGTAAATATTTATTTAAATATTCTTAAATTTCATTATCTATAGAAATGACCTGTAGGTAAGTTAAATATTAGAATCAAGATTTATATATTTTTTTTAAAACTGCATATTTAAAGCTTTTTACTAAGATTTTTTGTTTATCGTTCGAAATAATGAGTAAACATTCTTAAAGTTTTTTGTTTTGTTTTTTACCTTTCACAAATTTTGGTTTAATTCTTTCAAAAGTACTAATTAAAATAGTACGTTTTGTTTAAGAAATTTTGTGACCTTTGGTAAAATAATGTAGACTTTAACAATTTTTACAGCTATGACTATCTAGCAAATACTGGTGGCGACCCCAAACGACATGGCAACAAATCACATAGTTCAGCTGCAAGATTTCCAGAAAACACCGTTGAAGACGAAAGTATTGCTAAAATTGCTGCAACATTTCCCACTGAAAAAACACCAAACATTAACTTTAGAATTCGTTCACAGCCTCTTCCTCACTTCGACTCGATAATGAGCTTGTCTCCTATGGCTGAAGTCTCCACTCCCACCCCCGCCATGCCTCTTCTGCCAGACATGCCTACACGTTCAAGAAAACGTCTAGAAGACTTGGGAAGTTCACCGATTGTTAGCCAGCTTGGTAAGTTGGTCTTGAATGGATTTCCATGACTTAGTGTTAATGTACCTGCTTATTATGCTGAAGAAAAATATTTTATTTTCTCCAAGTAGAAACATCACTCATTTGCTACCGTACAATTAAAACCAAGAAAATGTTTAAATCAGAACAAAATACGCTTTATAGTACCTTAACTTATCTGATTCTTGTCCAGACTCAGATTTGTAAGTTTAACCCATAAAATACAAAACCAAAATATAAAAACAAATGTGTTTTCAACCTCCAAGCACGTCATTGGTAACGTTAGGTAGATTTAGGATTTTTTATATACTTCCGACCTGAACTTTCTCTATAGTAATACAACTATGACGTAGCACAGAATCGTATTTAATAGGATAATTGTTGCTAAGCTTAGAAGCTGAATAATTTAAAAGCAAATGAGAATTGGTTAGAAATTTCCGGCTTGAGTCCTTCCATTCGTCCATCTGTTGGACTTGTCCACATTTTCTTAGTATTAGGTTGATAAAGTCCAAAGCGTTGTTTTTATTATTATCATTTTACTAGTTTAATGAACCCAAGTGGGACAGCGGTAAGTTTAGGATTTACAATATTAAAATCAGGCGTTCGTTTCCCCTCGGTGGACACAGCAGATAACTCGATGTAGCTTTACTATAAAAAAAAACAACATATACTAGTTTAATGGAAACTGAAAGCAGCAATATCTGAATAGGTGTGACTATCGATGTTCGTGAGATTTCCTTTACGTTTAACCTTTATGTAAAACTACTATCTATAACTAATGCTAAAATTCTTTCTTGTTCATTTAGTTACTAATAAATGGTATATTTCACAGGAAAATAGCTTTATATAACTCATGTTTCATTAGTATTATAAACATGTTTGTGGTACCACAAATGTTACTCTAACACGTGATATTTTTGCTATCAAATATAACAATTTACGTCATAGTGACGTCAAACAATACTACATGTGATATAAGTTCTCAGATATTGTTCGAGCTTTGATGTCAGATGTTTTGGAGACTAATAAATCCAGCTTTATTTTATCTCTCCCAACTCTTATTAATTCGAGCTTTGATGTCAGGAGATGTTTTGGAGACTAATAAATCCAGTTTTATTTTATCTCTCCCAACTCTCTTATTAGTTCGAGCTTTGATGTCAGGAGATGTTTTGGAGACTAATAAATCCAGTTTTATTTTATCTCTCCCAACTCTCTTCTGGAAAATTGTTGCTAAACGATGATGACTTGAATAACACAGATGTTAGAATAAAACCAACGTTTGATGATAAGTCTTAACTTTTGTAAAACATTACACTCCTGATGATGACGCAGTAAAACGTCGAAACTTTTAGAGTGTATCAGACTCTGCCCTGTTTTATCTTTATACAGAAAATTGTTGAAGACATGTTTTAGCATATATTTGAGACTGGTAATAGTTTCGTTTTCAGATATTTATTATGTCCCGTTAAACGTTGGTTTTCTTGATGTTATTTAAAATGTATACAAGTGTCGTTTTAATCTTAATATAATGTGTTTGTTATTTTGGATATTTTTCAGTCATTCTGGTATTTTCGAAATCTATTACAACACATTAGGGTGTCAAATTTTTAAAATATATAAGACTGTAAGCTATTATGAAATTGCTGAATTAAAAATCTTTACATTAGAGAAAATTTGTGTATCTGGCTAATCCCATGCGACTTAAGAATCAAAACTAATACTTAATTTTGTTTCTTAATTAATTACTTTTATACGCCGTAATGGATAAACAGATATTGAGGGTTTGGTAGTTGTTAGTAGTGCTGGTAAAATATTCATATTTTTCGTAGCTCGAGACGCTTATTCTGACGAAGTGGACGCCGATCACTCAAGCGAACCAAACGCTGATTGTCTCGAGACGAGCGGCAACGCTACCGTCCGCCAAGCGAGGAAAGCACAAGTAAGAATATATGCATGCACTCAAGCAGTGTATTAATTTTATCACCAGTGGGCAAATTTAGAAATATATAACAGGTCTTTGGGGTCGCGCCTTTCAATTTCACGTGTAAGAAAGACAACATTAAGACTTAACTGTACCTTAAAATGTCATCATTTCATAGATCGCGATTCAACTATTTAAATATTTTTTACTTTATCAGTTGATAGAATAAGACTATCAGATCTTAAATGATAAAGACTGTACCTTAAATGTTGCCTAATTAATTGATATAGTAAGACTGTACCTTAAATGTTGCCTTACTCGTTGGTATAGTAAGACTGTACTTTAAATGTTGCCTAATTAGTTGCTATAGTAAGACTGTACCTTAAATGTTGCCTAATTAATTGATATAGTAAGACTGTACCTTAAATGTTGCCTTACTCGTTGGTATACTAAGACTTACATTAAATGTTGCCTTATTAGTTGCTATAGTAAGACTGTATCTTAACTGTTGCCTAATTAGTTGATATAGTAAGACTGTACCTTAAATGTTGCCTTACTCGTTGGTATACTAAGACTTACATTAAATGTTGCCTTATTAGTTGCTATAGTAAGACTGTACCTTAAATGGTACCTAATTAGTTGATCTAGTAAGACTGTACCTTAAATGTTGCCTTATTAGTTGGTATACTAATACTTACATTAAATGTTGCCTAATTAGTTGATATAGTACGACTGTACCTTAAACGTTGCCTTATTAGTTTATATAGTAAGACTGTACCTTAAATGTTGCCTTATTAGTTGATATAGTAAGACTGTACTATAGTAAGACAGTAAGATTTGCATTAATTTTGACATTTTTGTTTAAGATTATCATCTTAAACATTAATTTTTCATTTTTTTTAACCATATATTGTCAATCCATAACGTATAACAGATACATCAATTATTTTTTTATATTAATTGGTAAAATATTCTGTATCCTCGATAATTTTGCTGTAATAGGTCTTAATTTATTGCACATCATATTTATATGTTTAGACCAAATGAAAACATCATCTATAATTAGCCGTAATTGTGTTTTAGTATTAACATTTTATATATACGTACATTTTCAATCAGAATATTGCTTATTATCTACAAATAAATATTTATATTTATTACTACATCTTTGATCATGAATCCGTAAAATATATTTTAATAACATTTGTATATATTGTGAGAGAATTGTCATAGTTTTTGTTTTATCAGTATTCATATTTATTTCATTTATATTAAGCCAATACAATAATTTATTAAAATCAACTTGTAAAATTTCTTTGCCAACTTCCACATGAGTTACAGTTAAAGCTGTATCATCTGCATATTGGTATATTTTACTCTTTAAACCTATATTTACAATATCATTAACATACAAATTAAACAGTAGTGGACCTAAAATAGAACCTTGTGGAACACCATATTTTATAGTCATTGGATCACTCATTATTTCTCCAATTCTTGTTATTGCAACCCTATTACTCAAATAATTCATGAACCAGTTATGTAACTTTCCCCTTATACCCATCATGTATAGTTTATCCAGTAGTATTTTATGTGGGGTTGTCCATGTGCTGAAGAAGTGGGAGACTGTTTAATTCAATGGTGTTAGAAAGATGAAACAGCATTACAAAATCTTGGTTCATCACGTAAGTCCTGATGAACTAAATTTATTTGGCTTTGGATTTAAGCAAAACGTCAATAAATTTAGTTGATCATATAAACGCTATTACTTGATCAACCAACGTTCTGATACTAATCAAATTGAAAATTTCTGCCAACACTTCAAATGTAATGTTTGAAAACAGGAGCCAATTGTTGTATGATAAACTTTGGAAGATTTCATGACAAAAATGGAAGAAAATACAGGTTGATGGTCTCAAGAAAATAGCACTACCATGCCCGATGATGGATGTTATATGGTTAAAACAATAAGAGAAGTCACTAAGTTATACTTCATATTATAATAATAAATATAAACTATAAACCAAAAAACGGCACTTTTCTTTCACGTCCTTTTATGAAAACTTGAATGATTAAACTTTGGACTCGTAATTTTCGCTGATAGTGTATGTTATAGTAAATATACTCGAATAATTTTATCTTTATATAATTGTTGGTCTATTTATCTACGATATTGAGTTATTGGAAAGGGTTCACAAGATTATTTGTTCACTCGTTTGTAGTTAAGAAAAAACTACACAATGGGCTCTTTGTGCTGAACCCATCACGAGTATTGAAACTTGGTAATAAGCTCTTCGACTTACTGCTGAGCCACTTGGAGGAGGAGTTCGTCGGAAGGCTATTAGGATGGTTTGGGGGGATGAAAGGGTTATATTTTTAGGGATGGGTTAAAATCTCATAACTTATTTGTTATTGAAGGAAAAGGGGTAAGTAGTGATCTCTTCGTGTGAAGTTCAGAAGATTATCTAAAGAAAGTAGATAATAAAAAACTCTGTTTTTGTGTTGTATTCTGAATGTAAAAAGATGAGAGGATGCTAATTCAAGATTTAGAAAACAAGGCCTCTAGTTAGGTTTGTTTGTTCGAAGTTAAGCATAAAGCTACATAATGGGCTGTATGTGCTCTGCCCACCACAAGATTTTAGAAAATAAGGCCTCTAGTTAGGCTTGTTTGTTTGAAGTTAAGCATAAAGCTACATAATGGGCTGTATGTGCTCTGCCCATCACAAGATTTAGAAAACAAGGCCTCTAGTTAGGTTTGTTTGTTTGATGTTAAGCGTAAAGCTACATAATGGGCTGTATGTGCTCTGTCTATTACGGGTATTGAAACCCGGTTTCTAGCGTTTTAAGTCCGCTGTGCCACTGGGGGGTCTCTAGTTAAGACAGTCTTATTTTTCTAACAGAGTGATTAGCTTATGAAATGAGTGGACGGCAGCACTATAATGCTGAATAAATAGTGATTCTTTTATTTAAATCCAATTCTTTATTAAGAACAATTACACCTTTACTGGAGAAGCCATGCAAATTTTACTAGTGTGTTAACAGGGAGTCAGATATAGATAAAAGAATCAACAATTATTCAGAATTATAAATCCAGGTAAGATACATTATCCAGAAACTCCTTTATATTTATTTATAATAGTTCTGTAGGTGTAATTGTATAAAGTAACTTTCTTGTACTTAGTATCTGTGTTAATATAGGTGTACTAGATGATGCAAAGTGAACACTGGCGAAACGTCGTTTTGATAATTATTTAGGTTTTAGCCAAATACTGTTTCGAAATTGAAACCCTGGAATGCTCTTATTTGTATATTTATAGTGTGAATTATTAAACAAGATGGACGGAAAACTAAACTAGAAAGAAAATTGAAACGATATTGGTCATTATTTTCTAAACTAGAAAGAAAACTGAAACTGCATTGGGTATTATTTGAAAAACTTCTTGTTTGACATGCTCTACAAATTTTTGTAAATTCTTATACTACTTCACGTGTGCATGTAGGATTCCATCGTTCAAACGTCACAGAAGTATGACTTTCCAGTAAAGCGAATTCTTCTAACAAGAGATTCAAAGGATCGTTCAGTAAGCGGTGAGATACCGTCTTATTATTTATAGTATTCAGTACGTGTTTTTAACTCATAACCCGAAACTCTGATTAGAAATTTTTATATTAGAATTTGCTATAGGCATAGGTGAAAGTTTAAGGTCAGTTGAGGAGATTTTGTGTCCAGACTGTGTGTGTGTGAGGAAATAATAAAAGGTGACCAGTTTTGTAGGAAATATCCGCGTGTTGATTGACAGACACAGTTATATGACGTTTGTTTTTGCCAGTGTAAATAGCTTTACAACTACCACACGCAGTAAACGATCCATGAAAAACTGCTTTATCTGTTTCCTTTTAAGTATTAAGCTCTGTTTATCTCAATAAGGAAGACATGAATATATGTGCTATTTAGGTGCAGTCATCAGTTAGAAGGGTTTAGTTGTCAGAAAGTCACAAGCGATGGCTTAAAGAAAAGGTTTTGGGTGCCATTTTTCTAATGGTTAGAAAGACAGTAATTATTTACGTAAAATTTTCTCATACGATCCCTAGCGAAGAAACTAAGCAATTTGTTTAGCTTTATTAATAAATATTCTTATAGGCTATTTTTTATAACGTGGTAAATCATTTGTTAGCTACAGGGAGCTGCGGGGTCATAATGATGAAGTTAATATATAAAAATATAATAAGATAGTCCGTGGCATGGTGAGTGGGTGTCTGGCGTCCGGGGCAAAAAATAATTTGGTGTCCACCTCCCGCGAAATAAAAAAATCCAAACTCCAACTGCCCTTCACACTCTTATTTTCTAACTACTAACATTACATGGCAACCATACCTATCATGGTACTGTATCTGACCATATGTTTTATGATTATCTGGTCTTTGAAAGACAATTGTTGGTGAAATAAGTAATAACAGCACAGAGTACAGAAAAGTATTTAATCCCATGAAAAGGAATTTTGTGTTGAATGGGGTATTTTTCATGTGACTTTAATTAGTTTATTTCCTGTCAACTATGAGATGTCAGTGTATTTTTATCAATCTAACGCTGAAAACAGAGATATTTCCCAAGGCATGATATTTCTGATGATATACTAATATTTGATGTCAAGCATAACAAAAAACATTTTAGTGAGACTTAGTCATATGCAAACAGCTAAATTCTAGTTAAACTGGTTGTTAGTTCGGCGCCCCCCGAACCCGGCGTCCAGGGGCAAATGCCCTCCCTGCACTCCCCCCTCACTACACCACTGATTTAGATAGGCCTAGAACACCAGAAAATTTCTAAACATTTGACGTCAAGTTTTCTAGTAAATTCGAGAATAGATCATAAATACTTATTTTCATTTCAGTCAGAGTTTGTTTTATGTGAAGTATTTGAATCTGTGTTAGCTATCGCTCATCTTGAGTTGCTTGATCGATAAGTTTTGAAATATAGAAGTAAGTTTATTCCTTATGTTAGTGTAGTGCAGTTAGTATCATTTGTAAACTTACAAGTTACCACAGTGTTTAAGTTTGTAGGAAAGAACCCACCAACCTTAAAACAATATATAAAATAAAATACAAGATAAAAGCACAGTGATTGCTATTTATGCTTCCACTGTTATTTTTTATATTTACAATAAATCAATAATTTTATATTATAAAAAAATGTGTTATAGGATTATACATCTTACCGTTACCGCTATGAGGGGTAACCATTCCCAATTCTTGATATGCAGGTAATGGTCTAGGAATGAAAGTAGTCGGGGGAAAAGAGATCCCGGGAAATGCTGGCGTGATCGGAGCCTACATAGCGAAAATTTACCCGGGAGGTGTCGTAGAAACGTTAGGAGAAGTAAGAGAAGGTAAAACAATTATGCACTTCAACAACACTACGAAAATTAAAGGTTTGATTCGTTTCGGATATTATACAAGGACTATCTGCGCTAGCCGTCAATAATTTTAAAGTGATAGACTAGAGGGAAGGCAATTAGTCAACAGCACTCACCGCCAATTTTTGGACTATTTTAATAATAGTGTCGTAGATGATCCAATTTCATTAATCTGGGGTTTAAATCCTTTAATTAATAGTTTCTTTAATACGAAGACAGGTTTCGTTGTTGCTTTTATCCGTAATCTGCGTTCTTTACTTCTATGCTACAACTGTGCGTGTCACAGAGCAAATTTAAATGTTCACGTACTCTAGTTTATAGCCACCTGGTGGTAGGTCCTCTGTAACTAACATTACAGTTAGGACAAGTAAATTCATTAGAAAAAAAAAGTTAAATGGTTTTTGTGAAGAAATCTTGTATTTAAATCTTTCCGGTTTCACAGTAATTCTCAGGTCTATTCGAGAGTAGATCGACAAAAAATATTATGTAGTTGTTTTCTCCCCAAAAAAAACATATTTCTCGGAGAATGTTAGTGCTGTTGAAATCGACAATTTGGATCATTTATGATCTGTTGTTCGATACCTTAACTTCCTCTAAATATAACCTTATGGTCTTGTCAAAAAACATTTTGTTTTCATGAAAATATTCATAAGTACTTGTGATTTTATGAGCTAATATTCTCAGAAGATCGTTTGGTATAAAACTAATAAAGTTAAAATAAAGTTCTATGAAAGTTGTTTTTTTAAGAAAAATTCACAGTCCAATACTTGCTTGTTGTTAACACACAAGAAAGCCAGTTGTTGATTTTTCTTGATAATTACCATGAACCTTATATTATGTCTACTGTTCCACCTCGTTACATATGACAGAGAAATCATCTTAGTACAGTTAATGTTCGCATATAAGGATTCAATGGCCAAACTAGTACAGTTAATGTTCGTATATAAGTGTAAACAGTAGAGTTACTTATTAGGATATTTATAACTACCGAAATGATGAACTTCCTCTAGTGTTAACAGTGGAGTTACTTATTAGGATATTCATAACTACCAAAATGATGAACTCTCTCTAGTGTAAACAGTGGAGTTACTTATTAGGATATTTATAACTACCGAAATGATGAACTCCCTCTAGTGTAAACCGTAGAGTTACTTATTAGGATATTCATAACTACCAAAATGATGAACTCTCTCTAGTGTAAACAGTGGAGTTACTTATTAGGATATTTATAACTACCGAAATGATGAACTCCCTCTAGTGTAAACAGTAGAGTTACTTATTAGGATATTTATAACTACCGAAATGATGAACTTCCTCTAGTGTTAACAGTGGAGTTATTTATTAGGATATTTATAACTACCGAAATGATGAACTCCCTCTAGTGTAAACAGTGGAGTTACTTATTAGGATATTTATAACTACCGAAATGATGAACTCCCTCTAGGGTTAACAGTGGAGTTACTTATTAGGATATTTATAACTACCGAAATGATGAACTCCCTCTAGTGTAAACAGTGGAGTTACTTATTAGGATATTTATAACTACCAAAATGATGAACTCCCTCTAGTGTAAACAGTGGAGTTACTTATTAGGATATTGAGGCCGCAGAATTGTGATCATATTCTGGAACCGTAGACGGTAAGTGCTCTTGACTACCTCCCTTCGTTCTAATATATCAGTTCAAAATTAGGGACTGCTAGCGCAGATAGCCATTCTGTAACTATGCACGAATATCCGAAACAAACGTATAAAAATGCTTCAATGAAACTTAACTGCAAATAATAACACTTTATTTTAGGCATAATAACACTTTATTATAGAATTAATATCAGTTTACTTATAGGAATAATAACACTTTACTATAGAAATAATATCAGTTTACTATATGAATAATAACACTACTATAGCGATAATAACACTTTATTATAGAAATAATGCTTTATTATAGGAATAATAACATTTTACTATAGCAATAATAACCCTTTAGTACAGAAACGATAACACTTTAGTATATAAATAATGCTTTACTATAGCTATAATAACACTATATTATAGAAATAATAACACTTTACTATAGCAATAATAACACTATATTATAGAAATAATAACACTATATTATAGAAATAATAACACTTTATTATAGATATAATAATACTTTATTATAGAAATAATAACACTTTATTATAGATATAATAACGCTTTATTATAGATATAATAACACTTTAGTATAGAAATAATAACACTTTATTATAGAACCGGAAGATACTGCCCACCGTGTTTCAGACGTAACACCTAAGTTATAGATTATAAGAAAATGTATTGAAATTTATACAGAGTTAACCAGGTTTTACAGCATTGATAAGAGTGTAGAGGATCATTGGATTGTTCTCAGACTTTAATAAATAATACTGTAACAGTATATACTTGTCAAATCTAATAAGGAAAGAATTGAAATGCTAGGTTTTTAGTAGATTTTCATGATTGGTTGGAATAACGAGGGTCAGTGATATTTCAGCTCGATGTTTATATTGCAGACGAGTTTTTAGTACCAGTTATGATAATAAGCAGAGCCATCTATAGGAGGTTTAATATACCTCAGTATTTGTGTGTCATTTCGAACACTGCTCTTGCAGGTGACCGGGTTCTGGAATGGAACGGGATTCCCCTTACGGGCAAGACCTACGAAGATGTTCAACGTCTTGTAGCTGCTTCAAGAGACGAAGTGGAAATTGTAATCCGAGAGTAAGAATGAAATTATATTCGTCTGAAAGACAAAAAAAAAAATTAATGTAAACTGTTTGTATGGAAATTTGAGATCTATCTTCTTCAACCAGTGAAAATTTAACCGTTAAACGTACATGAACATTTACAAAACAACTATTGTTTCTGTACAGTATTACGTATACGGAGACTTGATATAACTAAATAGACACCTAAGTTTGTTTTGATTTTTTTTCTGGAACTGCTGGGAAAGTATGAGTGTGTTAATACTTTGAAGCCTTTTGTCTTATGCAAGTCAGCAACACGTTCACGCATTCTGAGGACAAGAGTAGCAGTTCTAATGTGTGGGGCTGCAGTCTTCTGAGATTAGTCCTAGTCTGTGTGATTGCAGCCTATTCATGGAAAACAATCAGTATTAGTGAACCCCGGGAAGTGGGTTTAATGGGACGCTTTGGCACGGGACGGTCGACGATAGCCAAAACGTGCTCAGTGAGATCCTTAGTTGGTGGCTTGTCAGACCACTGGAGAGTTATGATGTCCTGATTCGATCTTTCCATCTCAGCCTATTTATGTGTCAATAATAACTAATATGGAGAGTTAAAACTAACACTTCAGATCTGAATGTAAGATAAATATAGTCCTAATAATTAGACTTTAGTTCTCAAAAATGATTTTGATAACTCCGTAGATAATAACATTTACAAAGCGGTTTATTGTTAACAGTTTGTCACATGTGTCTTTACCGTCCTAAATTATCATATCCTGTCACATGTGTCTTTACCGTCCTAAATTATCATATCCTGTCACATGTGTTTTTACCGTCCTAAATTATCATATCCTGTCACATGTGTCTTGACCGTCCTAAATTATCATATCCTGTCACATGTGTCTTTACCGTCCTAAATTATCATATCCTGTCACATGTGTTTACCGTCCTAAATTATCATATCCTGTCACATGTGTCTTTACCGTCCTAAATTATCATATCCTGTCACATGTGTCTTTACCGTCCTAAATTATCATATCCTGTCGCATGTGCCTTTACCGTCCTGGATTATCATATCTTGTCACACGCGTCTTTACCGTCCTAAATTATCATATCTTGTCACACGCGTCTTTACCGTCCTAAATTATCATATCATGTCACATGTGTCTTTACCGTCCTGAATTATTATATTATGTCACACGTGTCTTTACCGTCCTGAAGTATCATGTTACATGTGTCTTTACCGTCCTGAATTATCATATCCTGTCACATGTGTTTTTGCCGTCCTAAATTATCATATTATGTCACACGTGTCTTTACCGTCCTGAAGTATCATGTTACATGTGTATTTACCGTCCTGAACTATCATATCCTGTCACATGTGTATTTACCGTCCTGAATTATCATATCCTGCCACATGTGTTTTTACCGTCCTGAATTATCATATCCTGTCACATGTGTATTTACCGTCCTGGATTATCATATCTTGTCACATGTGTATTTACCGTCCTGAATTATCATATCCTGTCACATGTGTTTTTACCGTCCTGAATTATCACATCCTGTCACATGTGTCTTTACCGTCCTGAATTATCATATCCTGTCACATGTGTATTTACCGTCCTGAATTATCATATCCTGTCACATGTGTATTTACCGTCCTGAATTATCATATCCTGTCACATGTGTTTTTACCGTCCTGAATTATCACATCCTGTCACATGTGTCTTTACCGGTTCTGAATTATCATATCCTGTCACATGTGTTTTTACCGTCCTGAATTATCATGTTCCGTCACTTGTACAGTTACTGTTCTATGCACAGATAAAGAAAAACTCGTATTTTTTTATTGTCTTTTTCCACTCTAAAATGTATTTCAACATTTTCAAGAACCTTACAATACGAAAAAAGAGTATGTAAAGAGCCATTTAGGATGTACTAATCTTTTTTAGAAAACATATACGTTATACGAAACTTAACAAACTGTCTAATAAATACGTTACCCACTTACAGATGTATAAAAATGGGTTATATAACTTTGTCAGGAAGAGTCGAAACTTTCAGATAAAGATTCATTGAGCATGCGCTTTTGGGAGATAAGAATTTCTGGTATTCAGGCGCATTTGAGGGGCCTACAGATTAGTTATAATGGGGGGATCTGAGAGGTGGCGTTTTGCTGAAAATACATCCAACTCAGGCCACTTAAACAAAAGAAACATAATCTTTATTACCCACACACTTAGACTAACTACATTCTGTACTCCAATGTCGGAAGTGACTGGCTTCTCAGTAGCACTAACCTTGGCTGCTGAAGCTAAGATTTTGTTTTAACGCTTTCAATCAGGATAAACTTCACCTTGCGTGATCTCATATAAGTGTCAGAGGTTACACTCGTATTGTAACCAAGGAAATATCACTTATTAGGATGTGTTTTTAAAGTACGCAGCGCGTTACTGCCGCAACGAGATATGAACCGGAAAGATTTGGATTCATAGCCCAAGCATGCTAACTGCTTAACCTCGTCCAAACCTAGTAAGATAATGTCCACCACAGATTAATGTAACATCCTTACGTCTGTTTGTTTGTTTGTTTTTGGAATTTCGCGCAAAGCTACACGAG